AGTTCCAGCAGTGAGAGATGAGACTGTGTGAGTTACTGGTCCATCTTCATCTGGAACACTGATGTCTGTCTCTGTATCTTTAAACTGGAGAATATAGCTGATTTTGTTGTTGACTTTATTCCACTGCAGAGTGATTGTGCTCTGATATTGATTATATTGATATTGATGATGATATTCTACTGTTATGAAACTGTCAGCATTTGGAGGAGCTGGAACAGGAAGAAAAGAAAGACAAAACATCTGTGTAAAGTACATTTCTACTGAACTAATCTTTGATATCTAAACCTGCAACAATTAATCCAGTATCTGATTGCGTCCATCCCCTCCTCACATCATTAAAAAGGCCACCCAGTCAACTTTACATACATTTTATGAGATAACAATGCAAGTATGCTTACTGTAGTTATCTGGTTGTTGAGTTTACCGTTAGAATTATTAACTGTATTTGCTGTGTTCAGACTATATTTTCTGTGAAACAGCACAGTATCATAAAAAACCTATTATAACCTGTGAATATATACTAAACTAATTCACTAAACTGCAGAGAATGGCTTTCTTTTTGCCACAGTGCATATTGTTGAAATATATGTACTTACCAGTGACTGCAGTAATGCTGACTCCACTGCTTCTGATGTTCTCAAACACAGAGTAGAGAGTGAATGTGTATTGAGTTCCAGCAGTGAGAGATGAGACTGTGTGAGTTATTGGTCCGTCTTCATCTGGGACACTGATGTCTGTCTCTGTACCATTAAACTGGAGAACAAAGCTGACATTGTTGTTGACTTTATTCCACTGCAGAGTGATGCTGGTTTCATTTTGTCCTGATGACAGGAGGTTTTGTGCATTTGAAGGAGCTACATGGAAAAATGAGAAAAATGAAGAAAGTTAAGAAAATTCTTAAAAACTGATCTCTCGCTACTTAGAAACACTGAAATTTGTTTTGTTGATTTTATTCAATAATATGTGAAAACATTATAATGCAGTTAAAATAAATTGATTAACTCACCAGTGACTGCAGTAATGTTGACTCCACTGCTTCTGATGTTCTCAAACACAGAGTAGAGAGTGAATGCGTATTTAGTTCCAGCAGTGAGAGATGAGACTGTGTGAGTTACTGGTCCATCTTCATCTGGCACACTGATGTCTGTCTCTGTACCATTAAACTGGAGAACAAAGCTGATGTTGTTGTTGACTTTATCCCACTGCAGAGTGATGCTGTTCTCATGATGTTCTACTGGTATAAAACTGTCAGAATTTGGAGGAGCTGTAACAGGAAAAAGGGTGGAAAAAATCAACGGCTTCATCTAAATATCAAACTAACAAAATGAGTTCTAGTTTATAACATTTTTGTTTGATCATTTGTCCATTTTGTATCCAAGAGTGAAATCTCATGCTGAGTATTGTCACAGCGAATGAGATGAGCCGTGTGGAAAAATAAAGGAGGATCCAAGTGCAGACACTCACTGAGATGTGGAGGTGGTTTATTGAAAATAAAGCACAAGGAGAAAATTGGCAAAACCGAACAAAAGCTAAACTAAACTGGGACAAAACTAAACCACAAAACAGCAAACCAGAACAGGAAGGAAGGTAGACGAAGGTACATGATGGTGACAGCAGGGAAAACACACTAGATACGCAGACGGACCAGCGACTAGTACAACAGAAGATGCGACTTAAATACACACAGCAAAACACCGGGAGATTACACACAGGTGGGGAACACAGCTGGGAGTAATTGATGAGACGAGACAAGAGAAGCAAAACTGAATACACTCACATAAGACACGGACCTTCACAATAAAACAGGAAACAAGAAACAACTACACAAAGACACAGACTAGACACTGAACTAAACCTACAGGAAACACGAGGGCACCAAAACAGAACCTACGAACTAAACCCTTAACCAGAATAAACTGAAACATAGATTTATAATAATAATCAACAAAGCACAAGAGAATAAGACAATAATCCATAATGTAAAAATAAAACAAAACATAAAAAACTCAAAATGCTGTGTCCAAATGACCCAGAACTGTGACAAGTATGAGCTTTACTTTTTAATCTCATTCTTTTTCAGTATGTAATAAAGTTGCTATCAAACAGATAATGTCATTTAAAATGAACCATTATAGAATTGCATTACATTTTATTTCCAACTCATGAATAATCCTTGCACAAAATATGAAAACATTATTTTTTTTGTGCAAATTTGTATTGTTACTCTGAAGCTGTGTTTGCAGGAGCTACAGATAAAAACAGAATCAAAGATGTAAGAATAATAAAAAACCCTTTACAAACAACCTTTAGTTCCATTAGAGCAAGCAGAGAAACATTAAAAGGTGTAACACTAGTCACAACTTATTAATAAGAATAACAAAAATTTCATTAGTCCAATATTTCCACCAAAATAACAAACTAAAATAAAGTGCACACATACAGTTTGTCTCTGAGTCAAATGTATGAATGAATGTCTGATGACAGATGGATTGTTGGGGCCCGGTCTGTGTTTGTTTAATTGTTTGTCCTACCACAATCCAAAGTGAAGAAGGAAAGTTTGAAATCCTGCAGGTATCTGTCCCACCATGAGATGGGAACGAAGCTCTGGCTTCAATAAAGTCAATCTTAGTCACTCTTGGGTTGGCTCACCATTCAGTTAACTGGAACTGTGGAATGTCCACTATTCAATGGAGGCTTGCTTCAGACTGGGTTCATCTGTCGAGTCATTGTGGTGGTGTCCGCCTCTCAATTTGGTGGGCACTGGCAACAGAGGTGAGTTTGACTAAACAGACCGTCCTCTGGACGCCGTTTAGTTTGCCCACCCCAAGGCCCTATATGTATATGTTATGAGAGTGTAAGTAATGTGGATGTCTCGGTTGTGGAATATAATTGAGGCACAGGTGGCCAAGAGGGGACAGAGGAGGAATGCTTCCCCTGCAACTCAGTGACACACCTGTACCTCTTGGCCCTGCATGTCTGGTGGTGTGATGGAGTGGGGAGCTGGGGTGGGGGGGTCAAAGTGCCCCCTTCCTGGGTCCAGCTCCACCGCTGAACCTGATAGGCACCCCCGTTCCCTGGAATCCACCAAGGGCAGGGGACCGGGCCTATCTCAACAGGGGAACGAAGAGTTGGGCCTGCAACAGCTGCATTTCCAAGCCTCACAGAGCCCAGGGTGGCCCCGCCGCACAGGAAACCTACACCCACCCTAACATTCAATCAACTACCAGACTACATAAGACAATAGACATCCAGGTTGAGTTCATCCTCCACCTCTGCTAGATCCCTTCCCTTCCTACAGAATGATCTCATGGAGAGCAGACCCCCCTGCAAAGGATGGTAACAACCTCCCTGCCAGCTGAAGAAGCCCCCAGTTCCTGCAATCCACCAGAGGCCCCCCGCACTAGGATTGGGCCCCCGTGCATGGCCCCACCCACAACCCTGTTGACACACCAACCAGGACCCAAGCCCCCAATGCTCAGCCAGAGCCCCAGCCCAGAGGAGCAGGAGGAGCAACCCCAGAACCCCAAGTCCCCAACCCCGCCGTGGACCCACCCAGGGGCAGATAGGCTATCAGGCCGGTAACCTACCTCAGCAGAGACCCTCCCCCAGACCTGCCGAACTCAGCCGCTAGAAAAATACCACCCAAGAGCCACCAGAGCCCCATCCAGGTCATCTGCACAGCCCCCAGGTTGATCCCCCAAGAAACCCATCCCTAGGTAATCCCCAGACACCCCAAGCCTGTATCTACCCCCACATCAACCACAATAACAAAGGCGGAACAAAACCATGACCTCCAGTAGGTGATGGAGCTGATCAAAGGAGCCCAGAGGGATTGATCTAATGTGGTGGTAGATGCTCTATCAAGACTAATATGGACTATCAGATGGTCTCTATATTTGTTAGAATTAAGATTTTTTTATTTTTTTTCCAGTTCATGAGGACAGTCTTCTTGGCAATGCATAGGGTGGTGAGAACCATGTGGAATGTGTTCATATCTGTAGTGACATCATCCAAGGTGCCCAACAAGCAAACTAGAGGGGAGGCTGGAATGTTACATTTCAGACACTTTGATAAGTCGTCACATATCCAGCGCCAAAGCATGTAAACTGGTGAACAGAACCAAAGAGCGTGGATATAATTGTCCGGTGTATTGCCTTGACAGTGTGAGCAGTTGTTGGAAAAGGTAAAGCCCATCTTGAACATCCGTTGACCTGTATAGTGCACTCGATGTAGTATTTTGTATTGTATTAATTGCAGACTGGGATTTCTAATCAATTTAAAGGTTTTTAAGCATATAAAGTGTGTGAGGATAAAGAACACATTTCACCTCTCCTTATTGATTACACATTTGTAACTTACCAGTGACTGCAGTAATGCTGACTCCACTGCTTCTGAAGTTCTCAAACACAGAGTAGAGAGTGAATGTGTATTGAGTTCCAGCAGTGAGAGATGAGACTGTGTGAGTTATTGGTCCGTCTTCATCTGGCACAC